ACCATTTGTAGTGCACAATTCATTCAAATTAATTATGTTCCTTTATCTTTCCTGAATTTGTCACTTTAAATTTAATCTAGTACTTGAAATTATTCAAATAACTATATAAATTATATTGCAGATTTTTGTGAATAAATTTCAGCCTATGAATTGTTTACAAACATTGTCTGCCCGAGGTGTTCATTAGCACTTTGGTCACAGGATATTGTTTTTGTTCCTTGATTGGATAAGTGAAAATGTTATAAAGGGTATATGTTTGTGTGAGATCTAGTCACTGGGCCTTTGATTCTCTCAGGAAAATGGGTCAAAGAGGTTCAGAGTATCTGTAGGCCTCACCTGAGACAACACTACGAGGCAATATATTTTAATATTGGCTCAGGTTAAACTTAAAATGTCTTCTTGTGGTAGTCAAACAAAATAATTGTGTGTGGTGCCAATCGTAAAGTGGGTGTATGAACTATTTAACTGCATCTGTGCCAGGGTTTTTGCATGATCCTAGTTCTGAAGGATGTAATTACATACTCTTGACTTCTCATTTAAATATTAGTGCAAGGGATTTAGCCAACACAGGGCATTCTTGGAGGTCCAGATCGACTGACTTTACAGATTCTTTGTGCTACCAGAGTGGTTCACAGTGGCTGTAGCTGGGCTGGATCACGCCCAGAGCCACATACACTGTAATTTTAGTCAATCAATATGGAGTAAATTAAAAGGAAATGGGGTTGGTGTAACATATGACACACTCATAATGTATTTTAAAAAGCCAACACATTCCTCCTCGCATCTCCTACAGGCTATCATTAGTTGAAGTAAAGGTTGCAATTCCTGTTTGTAGTCAGATTGTGGAGCTGTTTAGCACTGGGAACACGGGGTTGAGGAGTATGCATTATGTTTTGAGAATTAGGCTTGGATTTTGTTTACTGATGTCTTGTTGATTCCCATTTTTTAATGAGTTGGTATTATGTTTAGGTTAGCAACATTAACTTTCTACAGTACTGTTTTTTGTTTTTGAATTATCCTAAATTTGACTTTAACCAACATTTGTTTCTAATTGTAGACTGAACCATTTGATGTTTGACTGATGTAATTCCAAAAGCTTTGTTGTGAGACCTGATGTTGCCCTCAGTAATTACTATTTATTATATATCACAGTAATGGCCAGAGATGCCAGCTAAAATTAGGGCCCCATCATGATAGACACTATATAAACACAGAATAAGAGACAACCCTCGCCCCAAAGAGCTTACAATCTATAGAGATTAGACATCTAAAAGGTGGTGGAGAATCAGACACAGAGAAATAAAGTGATTTGCCCAAGGTCAGTGGCAGAGCCAGGAATAGAACTGGGGTCTCCCGATTCCCAGTCTAGTACCCTTTCCACTATACAGTCGTCTTCTTCTTTTTTTAAATCCATCCTTATAGATTGAACAACTACACATCTTACTGCTTGCCACTTCTCTTTCCTTTTTTTCTCCTATCTTGCCGGATTTATTTCTCATTGGAGTGAGCAGGTTACCTCTGATATGGGATCTTGATGTCACCTTCATGATATTCTTCAGCAAACTGAAGTCCTACATACAATCTCAAAATAATGGTAGAAAGATCAAGTGTTACTGAAATTTCCAGTTTCAAAATCTTTCTTCTAAGCCTTTCTTCTTATAACAGCATTCTAAAAAGGGAGAGGGGTATTGTGACCCAGTAACCTGTTGGTACCAACTGGCAGAGGGCACGGGGAATGCAGGATTTTAGAGGGATCCTCTGGGTCAGATATATGCATAATAGTTCACTGGTTGTCATAATCATAGTGAAATGTATGTTTGGGTAATATTTAAGGAATTATATATCTAAACTAAAAATTACATTCTTAAGATCTGGAGGTTAAGACAGATCACCAGGAACTGACATACCTTGGATATGTTCCTTTTAGACAGGAGGCAACAGATCCTTACCTCTGTGCCTGGCCCTGAGAGTATTGTGTATTGTCTGCCTCACAAGGATGCCTATTTGCATATTGGCCCAGATACCAGTTGAAAGATTGCAAAATCCACAAGAGAAAACTGACAGGAAAACACAATCATCAGGGGAGCGTCCTCTTTATGACTAAAATTAAAGGATTAGTCTAGTGCAGGAGTAGGCAACCTATGGCATGTGTGCCAAAGGCGGCATGCGAGCTGATTTTCAGTGGCACTCACACTGCCTGGGTCCTGGCCACCAGTCCGGGGGGCTCTGCATTTTAATTTAATTTTAAATGAAGCGTCTTAAACATTTTTAAAACCTTATTTTCTTTACATACAACAATAGTTTAGTTATATATTATAGACTTACAGAAAGAGACCTTCTAAAAATGTTAAAATGTATTACTGGCACGTGAAACCTTAAATTAGAGTGAATAAACGAAGACTCGGCGAAGAAGTGGGTTGTAGCCCACGAAAGCTTATGCTCTAATAAATTTGTTAGTCTCTAAGGTGCCACAAGTACTCCTGTTCTTTTTGCGGATACAGATTAACACGGCTGCTACTCTGAAACACTTCTGAAAGGTTGCTGACCCCTGGTCTGGTGTATCAGGGAATGCAAAGAAACCACAGGATCCTTCACCAAGGAGGCAAAATGACAGCATGTTGCGTCTCATAAAAGCGGGGTCACAGCCAGCCTGGCTGTAAAGTGCTTGTGAGGAAAAACTTTATTAGTCATGAGAGTATCTTGTTAACATGCATTCTGAGCCTAGACTTAATTGTGATTTTATTTTACATGTAACCATTTGTTTCCAATACATTTACTTACTATTACTTTGAATCCCTATGCTTTGTTAAAGAAACCTATTTTTGATTTCACTATAAACATGTTTAAGTGCTGTGTGGTAAGTACAATGGTGATCTGAGTTGGAATTTGTAAGCTGGGGTGTGCTGTGTCTGTGGAAGCAGTAGATCTTTAAATACTGTAAGTGTCCAGTGGAATAGGGTCTGGACATTCCAGGGAGATGCTCAGGTCTTGGGGTTTGGAGTGTGCTTATTGTTAACCTGTAGAGAGATGGCAGGGCCTCCGTAGGCCTATTCAGGAGTGCTTGTGGTGCCAGTGGCCGGTGAAGTTGGGGAGCTGACACCCCACTGGTATAGACAAGGCTTCCTTCCCTTACGGGCAGGTTGTAGCGAGGAGCCTAAACCCTGGAGACCCTCCGGAAGTGTCCCAGATATCATAGGGCAAGTGCATGACAAGAGTTTGATAGTTAAATCCATCCAGCACCTTGTTGCAGCTGGGATACCACTGTCTCCTAACAGTAGTCCCAGCTACATGAATTTAACTAGAAAGTGAAGGAACATGTCTGGTGGTGTAGTTTCCTTTCAATGATTTAGTAACAGCAATAAAATAAAGTAGGGCTGAAAAGACTAATCAGTTCAGGTCACATAAGAACTTGATCATTCCACCCCCCTCCTAAATGTGTCCCCCCCTTTTTCGGGGGGAATCCTTCTGTACTTCTGAAGCCTATCCATGACCAGAATTAAAGTGTTGAAATATCACCCAATGTCCCCATCCTGCTATCAGGTTAATGTGGGTTCAGGGTCCATTTGTGCAGCGCTCATGGCAGGCTCAGGGCCCAAGTGTCTGAGTATTGGTAGCCCCATCTCAACCGTCTATCTTCCTGTTAGCTCTGCAGGGATGTGGAAACAGACAGGAAAGGGCTAAAAAGTGTGGCGCACATGCATATTCTACCAGACTCAAGAGCTGGGCACAAAAGAAGGAAGTAAACTGTGGAAGCCTGGGTGGGGATTGACTAGGCTAATATTTGAAAGAGGGTGGATAAAGTCTGAAGACGGTACTATAGCTATCTCACATCATAAAATCCTGGTGAAGGTAAGGGTATTTTTGTCAGACTATTCTACTGCACACAACTGAGGGCTAGTTTGTTTTCATTTGGGTGTAGACTGCTCACACCTCCAGCACTGTTAGCAGCACTGTTATAGTGACATACTAAGGGAACAAGAGGTGAGAGGCAGGGAGCTTCGAGAAGAGGCGGTCACATTAATCAAGCTGTGAGAGAGAATCTAGACCTAGAACAAGAGCTTTAGCAATGAGGCTAATAGGGAAAGGGTGGATTTAGGTTAAAATAAAGTATTGACAGGATTGTACAAGAGGCTGGATAAAGAGAAGAATCAATACTGACACTAACACGAATGTGGGAAACAGAAAAGAGGTGTTGAGAAGGGTGGGGAGGAGGCAGATAATGGGGGCCCCCTCCTGAGCTGGACAGAGAAGCATGGTATAGGTCAGGCATGGTGTATGCACAATGGCCTTAAGCAACCCCTGTGCTCCTGCGTGTCTATACCAAGCCAGTGCCCTTCCTGATGCTGCTTTAGTGCATTAGTCTAAGTGGGCTGTTTTAAACTGGGCCAGCTGCCTGTAGCCCCCAGGAGCTGTGCCGGCTGCTGGAGCAGAGCACCCCTGAGGAAAGTCGGCTGAGTTTGTCATCTAAAAACTTGAACTTTTTTTTTCCAACCAGCTGCAACCCCCGGTTGCCTCCAGTCCCCTGCACATCTTCTCTGCACTGGCTGCAGGAAGAAAGGGTAGCCCGTGACCTGCTGTGCTAGGTGAGGAGCCCTTGTGCAGGGAGAACCCGGCCTGGGGGGCTGGTTGCAGGGGAGAGGTGACACTAACCCACCATCCCTTCAAAGCAATGCCAGGCTGAGGAGCGGTAGGTTCTGCCCTGTCTTGGGGCGAGGGGCTAACGGGGTGGGGGGAGCCCTGGTGCCTGGGGTCAATTGGATGCCCTGCGGCGGAGGGTCGTCGGATCAATTCTGCCCCAGCAGGGGGCGCTGCGGCCGCCTCCCTGGTGGCGGGCGGGGCCATTTTCTCTGAGCGCTAAGGCAGCGGGGCCGGGCGATGGGGCCATTTCCGGGCCGGCAGCACAGGCACAGCCAGTGGCGCTGCTCCCAATCTCAGCCTGGCCTGCGCGCCGGGGCCAGCCGCCGAGCCGCACCGCAGCGCAGCGCCCGGGTGGGCTGAGTGTGGGGCGGGCTCGGGGAGGAGGCGAATCCCGACCCTTCCGAGGGGCCCCTGCGCGGAGCAGCCGGGAAGGCGGCGAAGATGGTGAGCACCGGCCCTTTCCCCCGGTAGCTGGCGGCGAGGATCGCTGTGAGCCGGCCCGGGGCCCCCGCTCTCCCGGGCCGGGTCAGGTCAGGGGCCGCGCCCGCTCGGGCTGTCGCCTGGGCTTTAGAGGGGGTTTCGGGGGCAGCCCCGGCCCGGTTGTCGTAAGTGTCCGTGTGTCTGTTACGGGCCTGGCGGTGTGACACCCCCGCGGAGCGCTGTGCCGCGCCCCAGGGAGAGGGGCTCTCGGGGGGAGCTGGTGGCGACCGTGGGGTTAACCTGGCTTCTGAAAGGTGGTAGCGTCTTTAGTTTCTCGGTCACACTAAGAGGTTATGCAGTGAGGTTGTACCAGCCGAGATCTTGTCTAGACATAGAAGTTGTACTGGTTTAGTGGAAATCTGGTTTTAGTGAAATCGGTGCGAGTTTTTGTGTATCTATGCACGCTCTTACATTGTTTTAAAACCGGATGTATTGGTGTACCTTGCACCTGAAATAAACTGGGGTTAAGCCAATGTAAGTATGTCTACCCATGAAGCTGCATGAGTATAAATTCACAACTCTTGTTAAACCAGTGCAACTTTGTGTGTAGCTATGGCCTTAGAAGAGTAAAACATATTGGACAAAGGCAGTCCTGTCCTATTGCTATGGAGTGATTTCACGTTCTGATGAGGATTTGCAAACTACGATTCTTGTATATTTCACACAAGGCACAGTCAACCTGTGGAACTCTTTGCCAGAGGATATTGTGAAGGCCAAGATTATAACCGGGTTCAAAAAAGAACTAGATAAATTCATGGAGGATAGGTCCATATATGGCTATTAGCCAGGATGGGCAGGGATGGTGTCCCTAGCCTCTGTTTGCCAGAAGCTGGGAATGGGCCATGCGATGGATCACTTGATGATTACCTGTTCTAGTCATTCCCTCTGGGGCACCTGTCATTGGCCTGTCAGACAACAGGATAATGGGCTACGTGGACCTTTGGTCTGACCCAGTATGGCCATTCTTATGTTCTTAGATCCAGGAATGGGAAGTCATTGAAACTTCTGGGGCTTGTTAAATGTGTGAATAATTAAGTCATGCTTTGTGAAACTACTGCCTCCAAAGCACTTCTAGTGGTGGGCTTAGTCAGTAAGGCAAGAGCACCTATCAGAGAGAATACATCCTGTGTTAGAGTTAACTGGGCTGGGACCCCTGCCATCTTCCTCTGTCTCCAAGGGATTTGCTTCCACAGCTTTTCCCCCTGAAGTGTGTTTGCCCATCTAGACAATTAACACAGAGAGAACTGATCTTTTTCATCCATTGTTCCCCTTTTGTCCCCCACACCAGTGTATATATATTTCAGTGAAACTGATCTCTTTGAAGATTGGTTCCTCTTTATTTCAGACACACCTGCACCTTCTTCATATTCTAGTTTTATTTACTAAGTGTTGTGGGATAGTAAGGTGCCATAGGATCATAGAATATCAGGGTTGGAAGGGACCTCAGGAGGTCATCTAGTCCAACCCCCTGCTCAAAGCAGGACTAATCCCCAAAACAGCTGTCATTTGTCCATGTCATGCATTGCTCATTTCTATGGCTTGTTGTGTGTTTTGTGTAGTTAATTATTTAAAATGTGTAATTTTGCAATGTTCCCTTGTATTAGGCTCTCTCAATCTGACTGCTCTCTTGGGGCTGTGTTCTGCTGCTATAAAAGTGGACTTTTTCTATAGCAATAAACAAAAGGGTTTTTGTGTGGTGGCCTGGGGAGGATCTACTAAGATGATACCCAGAGGAGATTAAAAGCAGGGCTAGAATTTGGGGATTGGGGCTGAAGAACAAGCATGTAGGTTGTTTATAAACCTGAGTGCCAGGAACTGTGACCTAAAACTCAAAATCCCGTCTTTCCAAAGACAGCTATTACTTCTTGAATGTTACTCTGTTGTAGTTCAACTTATTTTCACATAGGGCTTGTCTACACTTAAATTTTATAGCGCTCTAATTTGCTGGCTCAGGGGTTTGAAAAATCACCCCCCTGAGCGCAGCAAGTCTGAGCGCTTTAAAGCGCTAGTGTAGACAGGCTACGAGCACTGGGAGCTAAGCCCCTTGTGGAGGTGGATTACCAGGAGCACTCTCCCAGCTCTCACGCGTGACCACACACTTGCACCTCAGAGTGCTGCTGCGGGAGCATTCCCGCGACTGCGCTTTGAAGTTTCCAGTGTAGCCATGCCCATACTCTCTTATATGACTCTGATCTCCTTTTCTGTGTATAAGATAAATATAGTGATTGGCAGACTTGTTTGACATTAAGAGTGTGATGGCTGGTTTTACTTCCCTTCAGTTGCGCTGGGCAGCATCCTTAAATGCGAGTTTTACAATGTTCTAGGAAGAGTGTTTCTGAGAGAGTGAAAATGCTCTGCAGAGTTTAGTACAGTGATTCCCTTGGGTGGATGGGGAACTATATGCAGAAAGCAAAGAGCTCAGATGTATGTGTGTATGCATGCAAAGGCACTTGCTACGCAAACTACTTACCTTTTAGCGAAGGTTGAGGGATTGTGGAAAAGGGACGTCTGAGAGACAATGTGGGATTTTCAAACACCTAAATGATTTAGAAGTACATGTCATTTAGATTCATAGATTCTAGGACTGGAAGGGACCTCGAGAGGTCATCGAGTCCAGTCCCCTGCCCGCATGGCAGGACCAAATACTGTCTAGGCTGTCTAGGTGTACTTGAAAATTCAATCAGCTGTCAAAAATGCATTACACAGTAGCTGTTCCCTCAGTACTAGTGTTCTGATTGTACTGTATGTATACCAGAGTATTTTGCAATAGCAGTGTCCTGGGTATGCATTTAAATACTAGATGCATGACCAAACGTCATCTTAAACCAGGTTACCATGCTCTTATTTTTTTAGACACTGGCCTTTTCAAGGTCAAATATAGAGTATTACAGAATGTGGAACAAAAGATGTTATGGTGGCTGATATGATCCTACTTGTTCATTCTCTTCTCTCTCTCTCTCTCCTCGTCTTGTGATCTGGTGGTCGGATCTACATAGCAGGGGAATGTGACTTGTGGTTTCTGTTTACTGTTAGAATTTCAGTGAAGTAATGTCTGGTATTGCCTATATATCCATTTATAGGATATGAGCAATACCACATTATATTGAGGAAACTTTGCAATAGTGAGGGCTGACACAAAAGTCTGGCATGTGCAAGAGGTCACTTGACAGAAACAGAACCTATTTTTCCTTTTGCCAAAAGCGATGGAGCAAGTAACTTCACCAGTTAGGCTGCTTTTGAATCAGGATCTCTTGAAAAATTGCTAGGTGTAGCATATTACTTACAGATTGGCATAAGTCTGACTCTCTTCAAACTTGTAATATGTGTACTCTCTTCCACGGAACTTGCATTCTAACAGCAGAACAGCATTTAACTGTCCTGCTAACTTTTTTTTGAACTACATAAACACTTCACAATATGGCCAGGGTGTGATGATCTAGACTGGCCTTGTGTTCTAGAAGCCACACTGCATGATCAAAGTCTGTTTTGATCTTAGTCTCTTTTTCTAAGAGTGCATTGAGAGTACCTTATCTTAACTTGCTCTTGAAAAGGCGGGACAGAAAGGACAGTGAGGCTCTCATTCTAAATGCCCATGAGCAGATGATAAAAGTGGTGGAGGAACAAACAGAGATGTTGAAGTCCATAATCACGCTACAGTTAGAACAGATGCATGCTTGCCGCTGCTCCCCTCCCTCCCCGCAGGCGATACAGAATTGTTTTCCATTCCCTCCCCAAGCTTCTCTCTCACATTCCTTGCAACTTTCCAGAACATTTCGATATCCAGTTCACTCCATTTCTTCAGACAGCTTTCAAAATGATAGTGGGACTTATGCACAGCTATGAGAGCCTCCAGTGCCCTGCACTGTTACCTCTCTTCCCACCAAAGCTTGTGTGTGTGTTAATTGGTGTTTAATAAAAACAAACTCTCTGAAAGATAACCAGTCTTTATTTGTGTACTACACATAGTGATTGCTGCTGGTGGAAAACATACATGCAGTTTAATCAATTGCTTATACAAATCCCACTCAGGAATCATCACACGTTTTAGGCAAAATAAGATAAATGAAATTAATGAAGCATGGAAGAGTTCTGTCACATTACTGGTGCTCATTATCGAAATGTTGCCTCAAAGCCTCCCTGATTTGAATTGCCCCCCACCCCCTCATTGCACCCCTCTAATAGCCACTGTATAGGCTGCTCAAAATCAGCAGCCAGGGGACCTGCCTCAGCATTCCACTCCTGGGGCAAATTTTCACCCTTAGCCTCAAAAGATTATGGAGCGAGCAGCAGGCTACTGTGACCATGGGAATGTTTTCCTCATTTAGATCTAACCTGCCGTAAAGGCAGTGCCAGCACGCTTTTAATCTGCCAAACGCACATTCCATGGTCATTCTGCACCTACTTAGCCTATTGTTGAAGTGCTCCTTGCTGCTGTCCAGGTTTCCTGTCTAAGGCTTCATGAGCCCTGGGAGTAAGGGGTATGCTGGGTCTCCCAGGATCACTCTGGGCATTTCAACATCCCTCACTGGACTCTTCTGATCTGGAAAGAAAGTCCATGCTTAGATTTTCTGTACAGGCCAGTGTTCCTGAAAATGTGTGTATCATGCACCTTCTTGGACCACCCCAGTGAAACACCCCTGGTGATCAACAAGCACCTGCAATATCCTGGAGAAGTACCCTTTCCATTGATGTACTCAGTCGCAAGACGGTCCAGAGCCAGAATTGGAATATGCATTCCATCTATCACCCCGCTGCAGTTAGGGAATCCCATTTCCGCAAAGTCATCCACTATTGCACGCATATTGCTGAGAGTCACGGTCCTTTGTAGCAGGATGCAATTAATGGCCTTGCACGCTTGCGTTAACGCAGCCCCAACACTCGACTTCCCAACTTCAAACTGATTTGCAACTGACCCGTAGCAATCTGGAGTTCCTAGCTTCCACGCTGCAATCGCCACGCGCTTC